AAGTAATTCAACTTTATTTCTGGTAGTAGAGCCATATTATCTTATGGGTGGCGTCATATATTGAAGAACTTTTAAAGAATAACCTGTTTATCCTGTTTCAAATCATAAATGTCACAAAGCGTGTGGTGTTAACAGTTGTTTAGGGTGCAACGCTAGGCGCCTATCATCAATCGAGACAATATAAAAAGCAGTGCAACCATTCATAAACATGAATGGTGACCAACTAGCGAGAAACAGCTGTCCAGTACTCCCTGTTAGTTTTCCAAAGGTTCTGAAATTGAATTGGTGTCAGTTCATGATCAAATACTCCAACAGATAAAAGAGAATACCTACAAAACCAAAACTTGAAAATTATATTTTTAAACTATAGTTCTGAATAGGATATATGTTTACAATGCATTCAAAAATTAAAATAAATACTTGCATATAATTATTTCTCTTGTGGTAAAACATGACGCATTTCAGTGATCGGACATTCTATTTCTTTGAGTATTCATCAATACAACAATTTTAAGTGAATCAGCTTTCAGATCATTTTACTATTGATAATCATGTATCCAGAATAACTGTAAATATATATTGTCGCCTTCAAATATCCGTCGATAAGTATTTAAATTTGCAGTTGTTCAGTGGCAGAAGATAATTTGAATGAGAAGTGGATCTTCCTCTAATTACCTGTATATATCATTTCTTATATTCCGATCAACTCAAATTTCGACGACAACAAATATTACTTGAATTATTATGAGCTTTATATAAATTCATTTTGACATGAAAATAGTCTTTAGTATGAAATTAAGTAAATGTATGGTGGTCATGTCTTCTTTTCAAATACTAATTTACTGTAAGTGCACTGAAAAACTTGTGGAGTAAAATGATAAAGATTTTACTTACATGTACATATGCCATTTGAACTCTGTCATGCCGGCTTAGAAGTTCAGACCATTGAAATAAATAGAATAAATTTAGGTAATTCGACAGAATTCCAAGCCAAGCGTGCTCTATTTATATCGTTGGAATGTATTGGAACTGATCAAATATACTGGAACTCAAAAGGCGACAACTATTTGATTGGAAGATATCCACTTTGTACGAAGACTGACTGTTCTATCCCCCTCATAACTTATTCTTTATGGACCGTCAAAACTACGGAATGCTGAGGTTTCATTTGTGAATATGAAAATGCCTGTCATTCATCTTACAAAACAATGACACTGGAATTTAAGGTCGAGAAAAGTTGAGTATAATAACCTAACAGCAATGTTTCAATGAACGTAGTTCGGCACAGAACACAATTTAGAAACAACAACATGAAATGTTAGTTTTCATATGTGCTACTTTTCATCACTGCTGTAGATGTTGGGGCAAATGACAGTGTTATAAGTCTGATGGCACAATTCCATTTAAAATAAACTTAAAAATTGTGATTTTTATCATTATTCTGTAAATCTCGAAAAGTATCAACAGTTAGCGTATTTTTGGGACATAATTAAGTGGAAAATACCCGTTAGGACATTAGAAAGAAGAGAACACAAAGTTTAGAAAAATGTCTTTTCGGAGATTTCATTTTCAAAAATTGTACAATCGTATTTAAATAGATAGTTTTACATAGATACACACACACACCTTTAATTCGTTCTAATCCTGTGTAATTTTGTTTCTAAGCCTCTCATAAACCGTATCTAGTGGAACATAATTGTCACTTTTTAGTCGCCTTCGTAATTATGTGGAATCAAGTAAAAAAAATGTATCGATGTAAAATTATGTATTTAAATGCCATTGCACAGCTTTTTAAAATGAAATCTCCGAAAAGATATCTTTGCTGAAGTTCGTGTTCTTTTCCTTCTGACATAATTAAGTAACTACATCAAAGTGCTTAAAATTATGGAATGTAGCTACAGAATATATGAATAGCATGGACAGCTTGTATGTCAGTAAGGTTCATTTGAAGTTCTGAAGTAAATTCTGTTTTCAGTACTTACAATTTTAAAATTTTAAATTCGACACTTATTCACTTGCTTGTACTTATTTTTATGTAAATATTTCAACTTTAATTTTCGACAGGCACTCAGTAACCTATTTACTAAAACTGATAGAATCTTAAATTTCCTAAGTTTGTCTGATGTGTTTGAGGTGTACTCATGGTACTTGATATCACTTTTAAATGGTACACTTTACTGATTAATCCTCCACAGTTTGCACCCAAACCAATCGCTCGTCTCTAATAACATAAGGGATATTGTCACACTTGGGTTTGTTTCTTCTTTCAGCAGGTGTATTAGTAAATGCTCAGCCAATTAATAAGTTCAATAATAATGAGTTTTTCAGAAAACAAAAGATTTCATTATGATAATTTTATTTTTATTTGAAAAAGGGAATACTTCTATGATAATAATAATAATATTTATAATGACAGATACACACTATATGAATACATAGTTTTTGTAATAACTATTTCAGTTATGTAACATGCAATACAACAATTATTACTGGTAATATGTACTATCATGTTTTTAAAATAATATTTCTAAAATAAATTCCAACTTTATTTGCACTTAAGATGCTTGACTTCACTGCCATCAATATATAGTCTACAAGTAAGGACTTTCTCTGTTGTATCGTCGGAAAGTGACAGTGAGCCTCTGTGATTCTTAATGGAAAAGGTGTATTCTTGTGGTTTACCTTCAGACTTTCCCTGAATTTTTAATAATAAATAAATTATGTGGTGATTACAGTACATGCAATGGAAAGTGTTTTATAATATTATATATACATTCCAGTTATTCACCGGGGTTATAATAATACATTAACATATTGATGTGACATTAACTTTCCCGTTGTAAACTTTTAGTGTCTTTGCATTACTACGTAATGTAGTACCATTTCGCCTTTTTATTTCAGAAAGTTATATACTAAGCGTGGCAGATGTGGAAAATAGACTTTCCAGTTATAGGGAATGTATTATGGTAATCTTAATAGTAGACAGAAATCCTTTAAACTGACGAAGCATGCTTAACATATCCAGGTTTACAATCAGTGTCTCCTGGAAGATAGCCATTGTTAAAGCGCTATACAATATTAACTGCTAATTTCATTCATTCATTCAAATATACGATATATTAAACAGTCCAAGTAACTAACACTGATTCAAGTTCAACTATTTAACTTGGTGCATAAACAATCCTAAAGGAGTCAGTGGTGTTATATAGACATAAACTTGGAATTACAATCACAGACGAGGATATTGAAATACCTGAGATGCGAGTGAGGTGAGGAGTCAAACCAGTTCTTATCCCTAGCGTTCCAATAAAAGAATATAACCTTTTATAAATAGTTGACATCATGAGATACATTAAATAAGTGTTTGTTTCAAATTATATTCAATTCAGAGCATTTTCAGATCAATTAAAACATTTATTTCTTTAGAATATAAACACTGAAAAATGCTAAAAACATATGACCCAAGTAAACATCAAAGTCAATTCTGCCATTGGGGTTTTCATTGAACACTTCTCAGTTTACTTATACAATGCTTCGATTTGGAGCTAACACGAGGGATATCACCTAAAAGTTCTGAATTTAAAATTTTCAGCCAGAAGAACGAGAAATAAAGTCTCTCGTTTCGAAATAATTTATAAATTTTTAATGAAGCCACCACAAACCGACATTAGCTAGACAGTCGTTGGAACTAGGAGTACTGGATAACAGTTCAACTTTAGTACTCTTTAGCAGTGTACGTCTGCCACTTAATGTTGTTTTTGCCCTGAAAATAACACATTAAGGTGCGAGCTAATGCAGTTTCTACCAACAGTCCATCATTTGTAAATGACTGAAGTTATGTTAAGCATGATGAGATCCACAAGTCATGAGCTCATCACAGTATTAGTCATTTCGCATTAAAGCTAATCGCTCTATTGAAAACACTACTGACTTTATCTTACTGGCACTTTATTTAACAATAGAATGTGGAAATTGGTTTTACTCACCTGGAGTTGAATTTGTTGGTCATTGCACCATAAAATGTGTGTATCCGTACCTACACAGAAACCGAAAATTTTGTATTTTATTCTGTACGAGGTGCAAAATTTACACTACATGAAGTCGTTACTACTGCAGACAAGACAGGGTTTTTGAAAACTTTTTGTTGGTCATTCCTCTTCACTGACTTCATCTGACTGAATTTGTATCTTTTTTTAAAAAACAAATTTGCTGTTCCTCATCCAACAGCCCAGTTTAAAATTAGGGGTAATAAGTAAAACTGTTTCTGGGATCACCAGTACTTATTAGATTAAAGGTATTTGTGAGTTACAGTAAGCAGGATAACCAATTCTCTTAACCTTATTATCTATCAAGTTATCCTAATTAGCCAGCTATAGATAATTTCGGTGAGTACGCATCTACTTAGGGCGGTATTTGGTAGGTAACAGGAACGTGAGTGGCATAAAAGTTGGGCATAGTGGTAGTTTCACTTACATGAAAAGTCTAAATAACTTTGGAGGTTAATAGTTAACTAAAATTCAGAAATGGTGGTAAAGTCCTCAACAATTAAAAGCAGTGCGTCTTTTGCTAGGCTGATGAGATATTCATGTGCAAACCTCTACACAGATTATTAACATGAAATCTATGTGTTAAGTAACACAGCTGCTAGTTGAAAGTAACAGGGAAAGAAGATTTAGAAGCATAGATGTGTTTGGTAATACACATTCGAAATAATAATTCCACTTTACTGAAGGCTAGATGCATAATTTACGCCTAGGTATAAACAAGGAAGAAAGTAGTAATTGATGAAATAGTTAATTTATATCGTTTAACACAACTCAAACGTGTTATTTTCCGCTAGTCACAATCTGTCAACAACGAGAGTGGCTTTTGCGCCTGCTCTCTATTATAACCACTTGTGTGCATGCTGGCTATTTAATGGTCGGCGAATAAGTCAGCAAGATTTCAGCTGAATTGTAAACATTTACGATACATTAAACAGATCATTCACACTTAACCACGCCACTATTCTTCATCTTTAAATTGACTCTCTTCTTATGAACTACAGTAAAGCCTAAAATATTTCGCATCAGTGCGTAAGGCTTATAGTTGAATTATTTTAGTCACTATAGCACTTATAGATTTAGTCAATTAATTTGAAATCCACTATATTATTGCTGGTAATAATATACACAAGATTCAGCTTGTATAGAAACAAAAACACCTGTAAAAACATTAAAAAATTCATGAAATGAGAATATTGTGCTTTTTCCTCGCTAATTAAAATAATTCGTGAATCAGGAGGCAAATGTTTTAGAGACAAGCGTTTAACGTTATTTGTTGTTGTGCGGAAACATAGAAGTATACAATTCTGTCATTGTATAACAGTAATCACATCATTAAATTTTATTGAATGCAATTTAGTGGACTAATCAGTCATCATAGCACTATTAACATTTCTTTATTTCTATCCCCACCCGGCATTACCAAGCTCCTCGATGTTCTTTTTCTTACTTTAAGTGAATTACCGAAAAACCTAGGCTGCAATACATTATACTGTTTTAGGAATATTGGTAATCTAATTGTGTGTTCACATGATTTTTTTATTTGCCATCAGTAAGAAATAATAAAAATTTTATCATATCTTTACTGAAGGAATAATATGTTAGTGTTTTGATTGGCCACAAGTCAGTAACTGGTATAATGTGTCTAATCCTAGACAAGAGTTCCTTCAAGATTGCAGAGTACCAAATAGCAGAAAACCTAGTCTAAGGCTTCCTGCCGATTGCCTCCAGGCTTCTAATATCGATATGTTAGTGTTTTATTTTGATCAGAAAACTCCCGATTTTTTCTGTTTATTTCCAGTAGACAGGGGCTTTCTTTCTATAGGCTTACATTAAACAATACATCCATTTGAACTAAGAATGATTCCATGGGTTGTACAATATCTTTAAAAAATTGCAGATTTTCTCAAGAGTTTTGGATAAATTTCAACAAAGTTAAAAAGACTAAATTTTCAGTCATCTGTTTCTTGCTGCCTAGGCAACTACAAATATGGATTAGTTGCGCAATCTATTTACACGTCTGCTCATTGATTTCACTCTTAAGAACTTGATGCACTAAATAGTCTCCTGGTTAATTAGTTTGTAGGCAATGTTTCTTTGCATTTCAACCCCTGAAATATTTTTAGAATTATCTGATATAATATACAAACTGATAATCATTGTGTAACTTCCTGTTTTGATATTCTGAATTTTAGATTGCCTGGTTTTCAATACTTTTTGTGCTGTCCGTATACTATTTGAGTTATCCTATTCTTTTTCTGGTTAGCATTTTAATTTTGGGAAGATTTTAACTGATTCGAATTTGTGTAACAAGAAAATATCACTTGAAATGCAAATACGAACTTAAGCGTATTGTTGAAATTTATCAAAGAACTAAATGCATGAAATTCACTGATAAAATTAGTAAACATATTAAGCAGTTTTATTTAAATACTCACAATAAGCCAGACTGACTTGATTTCCATCTAAGTCTGTATTCCATACAATGACATTTTCTGACGGTTGATAGCAGCTGCTTGTTGAGCTTTTTGACTCACGACAACTAGAAAATCATAGGTAAATGGTGAATAGGTCATAAACGCATTGAATTTTGGTCATTTAATTTTGATGATTTATATAAGCCGACAGGAAATCACATCCACTGCTAGGATTTACACTGAAGACTTCGAAAAGTTGAAGTTTATTCTTACAAATAGAATTACATCAGAATTTTTTATTGTGGTATATAAACCCAAATGATAATGTAGGCATACATTGAAATGGCAATCCAAACTCACAAATAAACTAATCTATTGATATTATTGATTCGACTTTATTTAAACACTAATTTTGTTAATGTCACTAATTCATTCAGTATTATTTATATATAGCTGTAGAACGTGATGATGAAGTTATCGAAAAGAATATTCTTTGTTCAGTAACCATTCTTTAGAAAAAATTTAATGAGAATTATTAATCAGTTAAAGTGAACTATCTTTTCACTTTCAAACTGAACTCGGTTATTCGCCTTACATGGATCAAAGTAGTTATAATTAGTGTCTCTATTCAGTTCCTCAGAGACAGTAGTTCAGTGTAATATCCAATTAATCTGAAATATACGACTACGAAGAAACTGAAATCTCTTCTGTTCCTGTCGGATTATTAATAAAGTTGCTATACATGAAAAAATCATGTTAAAATTCCAGATTTGACGATTTTATTTACTCAGATAACAGGATCCATGTCTCTGTCTGAAGTGGAAAGTAAATAAATTGCAAAATATTCAAATATCACAAGATGGATTACAAAGCTTGTCTTGTTTATGCAATTCTTACAACGCCTCCCCTTAAACGTGATGTTCAAATGTTGAATACTGCTATTTTAAATTGCTAGATAAGTGATAATAAGGAATTTCGTTGTCTGTTATTGAGAAGTAGTTAGTGAAGGTTGCCTAATGACGGTTGAGATTATTAGTTACACCTTTCATCGTAAACTTTAAAAATGTCGCTTCAAATATCAAAAACCATTAGTTGCTACACATAAAAAATTCGGAAGTTATTTGCAGATGGAGTAAATTATGAATGTTGTGAATTCAAACACATCTGACTTTTGAATGAAAACCAAACAATAGACTATTAGACATTATGAAAAACTGATCTCTAAAGTATCCAAGTTGAAGGAATACATTTATTAATTTGAAAAACTGAAAATTTTTCATGGTTTAGAAACAAAGAGTTTTGATCACATCACACTATGATAGGTGAGCTATGAACTTAGATATTGCTGTATTTATTTTTTGACCCAATAAAAACTATCCATCACTAAGAACTATACTTTAAAGTGCAGTCTACCAGGAAATAACGTCAATCAGAGCTTTGTTAACGAACTATAGGTAGCTTACAGCTATCAGTCATATTTTGATACGGTTTACTGATGCTTACAAAAAATCTGTCATACGATCAATACACCTGCCATAAAGTTTGGCAGTCATCAGATTATCTTTCAACTATTGGGTTCGAAACCATTAGCCGGTCTTTTCAAAACTCTTCTGTTTCACATTGCAATCATCAGTGAATGATTTCATTGAGAAATATCCTAATACTCAAACTGACTGACCATTTCGAACGAATTAGCTATCTAACTATCCATAGTTTTAAATGATTCTTTGGCTGATGAATGTATGGATTATTCAAGATGTATGCTCAGCAATTTATTATTCAGTCTTTAGTTAAAGAAAAATCTAAGTTTACATGAGAAGGCATGAGTTGCGACAAATATTAAAAGGTTACACTGATTGTACTATATTGGTTGCTGCAGGGTATACGTGCACTGGCTTCACTTCTATTTAGACTTGTGTGAGTTTCTTGTTCCAGAATCACATAGGACATCATTTCCATACTCCTTATACTCTAGTTTTAATTTTACTTGTTTTAATTTTTATGCATCACATCGTAGTTTACAGATTCAGAGTAAAGTGCTGTAGTATTTTTTTGTAGACTGAAAACAATCATTTTAGGACTGTAAATCTATGAAACCTAAGCCACCAAAACCGCCCACACTTTCTGCTTTCAAAAAAACTTTTGTACCTGAATCTACATTTCGGCAGAAATATTGAGTAACTGCCTGTCGCACTCAGTGAAGAAAGCTTTCTTCGCAGCCGGACTCCAACTGAGCTTCTCTACGAAACCAATGATTCATTTGAACGTGGAGGGTAAGCTGCCACTGTTGGCCTCATCAGTGTGCATATACCAGTTCACCTGCTCCACTTGTGAAGCTAGGTATGTCTGCCGTAGCCAGCATTTTCTATCCAAGTGTATCATAGAACACTTGCCCTCATGGTTTTACAAAGGAGAAAAAACATTCCCCAGAAGCTCTGTTCTGGAACACCTGATAGAATTAGAGCACCAAGCAGACTCACAAACTAATTTTAAAATCATCTACAGAATACGTGGGAATCTTAATAAGAGTGTGTGAATAAGACTTCTTCGAACAGCCAAAGCAATGGCAATTCATATGTCAAAACCTGGATTCTGCATTCAAAAGAAGTTTATTCAGTCATTAAATCGACAGCTGACCTAACCTATCTTGACACCAAATACGTAAGTTTTGTTTCGTCCTTCTTTTGCGTGTTTGTTTCTTAACTGTAATATTTTCTTCCCCATTATTACCACTGTTGTCAACTCGACTTTTGTCCAATTTTAATTTTAGTTGTACTCTAATCAACCCCGTCAATTAGATTACGTCAGTCAACTTGCTTATTTAATCTTATTTTAGTTTCTAACCCATTAACGAAATTCGTCATCTAAAATTTACAATTCTAGTAATTTTATTTTATTTTCTACCCGATTAACGCTTTCTGCATTACGTAACTTGTTATCTAAAATTTACAATTCTAATGACACATACTTGGAAATATTCATTTTGTTGCTGAGATTGATATCACCGAAAACAGTAACTCTTCACCGAACGCCTTTTCTTTTTTAATTAGAGATTTGACGGATTATTCTCAAAGATGATACGTCAGGTACTAACTTCTAACCTATTTAAGTGATTTCTTAGATTGAGTTTATTAATCTTTACTGACGGGAATTTTAATAACAGAACAAGATATTTACACTTATTGAAATATCTTCAAAAATCTTCACACATATCTTGTGAGATATCTATGAATCTGAATAGCCACATTGTTGTAAACAGTTAATCGCCTTTCTAATCACAAAATGGGAAAGAAGAGAAAAAAGATACTTCAGGACTGATAAAGAGACGTGAAATGATGATGGTTTTCATATTTTAAGGGCAATATCAAGGACCTTCCCATCTCTGGATTAATTCGACGAAATAAAGATACAGCTTCCTGAAATTCACAAAAAATACTTTTAGATGTTGGAAAATTAATCTTTAGGAAGAAGTGAACCACAGTGAATATAATTCATCAACACAGCTAATCCGCATTCTTAGGAAAATTCATATGTACTCTGAAACTGGTATAAATTCATTTCCGAAGTGAAGAACCTTAAGGTTAAACTAATCAGGGTGGTGATGAACTTAAGGAAAAAGCGTCCAATTCATTTTAATGTCGAGATATTTATAAGTAGTAATAACAGCAAATAACATATATACACAGAGGGAAATAAGTTGTTCAAAACTTAAACAGAAAGGAATTTCAGATCAGCTTACTTTGCCCTCCGTACTTTTGATAGCGGGGAACTGGCACCGTTGATTATTTCAGTAGCTTTTTTTCCAATTGTAAAAATAACAGACATCGTTTTCGATTTTAAAAGTTTTTTTTATCAGTCAGCTTCAGCAAAAAAATAGCATTTAAATGTATTGAAAGTAATAAAAGTGAAGAGTAATTTGATGTCCAGATGCTTATATTAAAAAGTTTTGTTCATTTGCTGTAAAATATAGTTACCATGACAGCTAGTTGAAATCATTATTCATTGGCTAGATGCTTAGTTTCATTTTCCACTTTTCTTTGAATTCAGTAGAGAACAATAGTTTGGCCTAGATAAATTTTAGACAGTTATGTCATTGTATCGATGAGATAAAAGGGTGTTGTTATTGCCTCATTTTGTACTTTAAAAACAATAATGAATTTTTATTCTTCATGTTGAATAGTTTTGTTAGTACATGAATAGTGTGTGCATGTATGTAGTTGCCAATTTATCCTATTAATCCTTAATTTCCCTTTAATAATGAAATGAGCACATTACTTTGTCAATATCACTACTGCTGTTTTTAAAACTGATGCCACTACTACCAATAAGTATCATTAGTGTCATTATCAATGACCATAATGTTAATGATTTGAAAGACGAGAAATATGTTGGACAATATAATACAAAGGAAGCTCAAGAATTTGATTCCAGAAGTAACGGAAAGTATTTTGTATTTTAAAAGATTGAATGATATTGTAACAGTAGAAGGGAAGACATGGAAGTAAAGGTATATTTTCAAATGATCAAACCTCTATATATATATATTCTTTAACAATTCACTCAGTGTGTCATTTTGGTTTACATTAAACGACGTGAAATAGAATGTCGTATTCTGTTGCTAATGCACTATTGAACTGTGGGAAAATGTCAGACTAATATTCCGTTGGAACACACTGTCTGTATCACACCATCATAATATGAAGTAGAACAAGATATTAAGGTGGTCGTAGTAACATGAATTCCAGTCTATTACATAAAAGTGCATTTTCCAACCTTTAATATGTACAACACTTGTACAGTCTAGAATTTCTTACATGAACTGACAGCACTTAGAGGATCGAATTAAGTGTCACTATGAGGCTATTTCTTTGTCGTTTGAGATTCACTAGCAATGGGAACTTCCAGGCTGTAATATGTTATTAACATTTCAGTAATTTAGATGTTTAGTTACAGTGAATAACCATTTACATCCTTAAATTAAATTTTTCAGGTCTTGCCCAATTAAATCACCACTTAATAAACCAGTGTTAATGTTAACTGAAGGGCAGTAACTTGTTATATTTTAGAAGTTTTGCTCAATTGCCTGTTTATCTTTTGCCTTCTCTAACTTAAGATTATTATTTCAGAATAATTTTTACACTGTATATACTTTGTAACTTATTTCATCAAGCCAAAATTGTATTATTTATGAAAGTGTGACGCTTTTTAACTTTCCTTGAAATAGTCATCATTGTTTCTCTGTTGTTAAGATAAGTGTTGTGAACATTGATGATTAATCATTGTTCCAGGCTGGGCATGAAATGTTCTTATATGCCACGCAGCGATGGAGTCTTATCCTTGAGGTTTTAAAAAAGTTTACACTGTCATGTTTTACTTCTTAGAATGAGTATCAATCGACATCACTCCTAAGGAAACAATCAGTACGCTACGTGCTCTCAACTTTTCTTTGCCAGTGTTCATAAGATTGTGCAGTTTGTTGAAGGTTTATTCCGTGTACAGAAATAGGAGAACATAATGACAAATTAACATAAATTGTAAGAACTGAAAATTTATGACAGAAAGCACTCTGTGTATGTACTATATAACTGACCACGATGAATATCATTTTATTTATCCTATAGAAATATCTCTTAATCAATGACATAAACCGTTGTTTCGGTCAATTCAATGCAAAGTTAGGCTATTTTGAATGAGTATCCTGACTGAAGCAAACTACGGTGACAGAAAAATTATGAGAGACTGAAGGGCAGTAATTACGAACTTGTCTATATTCTGCGTATGTCTGTCCCCCTATGGAGTTATTCACCAAAACAAGATTTGGGTAAGCAATTGCGATAACCACAAGTTTTTTTCTATTGGCTTTTCACCGCAAGATTGTGATTCCTAGCCAGTCTATTTAACTTCTAAGTACTGTGCTATATTCCTACATTGCTATATAGATTGGCACAGATTTCATGTAATACTTACGTAACAAATGACTAACACACAAATTAATCATATTTAACTACTTATTGTTATTGAGTCAGTTGAAATTTACTAACTCACAAATGGAATTTTGTTAAGATTTTCATATATATAAATAGCCGTTGTGGAGAGCAAAGAATCAGATGATCAAATTATTTCTTTGGTGAGGAGTTTAACTTGAAAAATTTAAAAAAAATGGAGGATTATGCAGGGGATGCCAATAAGACTTGGAAAGATGTATTTGGAAAATTAAATCTAAGCTTCAGGAAACCACACAAACTTCACAAAGACAAACCAAAAGAAAACAACAGATACATTGGACCATTCACCAAATCATTCAGAAATCGCAAACAAAAAACCAGTGAAGATTGTGATTCACTTCAACAGAAAACAGATGATAGGGAGAAGAATAATCAGTGAGTGATTTTACTTCATTTTGTTATTTATGAATTATTTTGAGTGTTAATTTTCAAAGTTGTCCTGTGTCCATATGGAAGTGTTCTTTGGAACACACATCAAATTTCACTTCAAATGATAGGGATAAGCAAACTGATGAAGACAGATAATAAACATTATAGAAAAGAGCACCACATGGATCAGTTTCTAACTCTCAGTCGGAATGATGAAACGAACGACATTTTTGTCCTAAACTTTATTAAATAAGAGAAATCATACCAAACACAATGATTTGTGGAAAATCAGAAATCGGTCAGAAGCAGTGCCTGCAAACGTTTCCCCTGAAATATTGTAGCGTCTTAGGTAAGGTGAAAGTTTGCAGTATGTGACAACATGCTGAATAAAGCAGTCACAGGAGACGTCATTAATATCAGTTGCCATCAAAGTGCATGCACTCAGTATTGAACAACATTGATAATCCATTGTTATTTAATTGTGCATTTCATACGGAAAGTTCAGTGTCAGTTATTTCATTACATAAAGTAGATTAGTAACGCAGTAATACTCGCTGAACGACAACTCAGGCACAATTCATTTCTCAAATGAGTATGACTGAAACAAAAACTGGAGGAAACATCTTTGACTGAGTTCTGTGTTCATGTTACACCCTACATGCACCTCCTCATTTAATGTTGTATCTGAGTCTCAGGATCCTCTATGAGCTGTTGTTGTCTATGTTGTAGGAATCCCGTTAACTGTGACAGATCAAACGAACGATGATTCAACGTATGAAACTGTATTATTATTGTTCCCTTGGGTTCCTAGTGCAACATAGGGCTTCAGCTGCACGTCTCCACTTGCTTCTGTCTTCTGCTGTACTTTTCACCTGCATCCATGTTATTCCATACTGTTTCAACTCTTCTTCACACGATCTCCTCCATGTCACCCTTGGACGTCCCACTCGCCGCTTCCCTTTCGGCTTCCACTCGAGCGTTGGCCTGACGCGCGATGTCACCCAACGGCCTCCTCAGCGAGTGTCCAATCCATCTCCACTTTCTCCTGCATATTTGTTGGGCGATTGGTTCTCGTTTTGTTTGTTCCCATAGTTTCCTGTTTGTGATTCTTTCCGGCCATCTGATATTGAGTATAGAACGAAGACAGCTGTTGATAAAGGTCTGCAATCTGTTGGAAATATTCTGGGTGACCCGCCAAGTTTCTGATCCGTATAGCAAAACTGACTTGACGTTTGTATTGAAATTCGAATTTTGTTGTTGAGTGTTGCTGAGTGACGAGGATTTCCAGATTGGTTTCAGGTTGATGAATGTGTTTCTCGCCTTCCCGATTCTCGATTTGACATCCTCGTCCGTTCCTCCTGTATGGTTGAGACAATGCTCCCTAGATAAGTGAATGAAGTAACCTCTTTCAAATCCCTCCCGTTGATGGTGATTGGCGCTGGATGTTTCTGCTGTTGTTGTTGTTGGTTGGTTATTTTCATAACCTCCGTCTTGTCTATGTTCACCTGGAGTCCTGTCTTTGCTGCTTCTTCGACCAGTTTGTCGGTTTTCGCTTGTAAGTCTTCGATTTTGTGTGACATCAAACATAAATCATACACGCGCGAAATCCAGGTCTTCTAGGTTCTTCACGTCGGTCCAGGATATCCCTGTCTTCTCGTTTCCCACTGTCTGACGCATAATCCAGTCCACCACAATTAGGAATATCATTGGTGATAATAAGCACCCTTGTCTGACTCCTGTGTTTACTCGAAACGCCTCGCTGAGTTTTCCGTTGTGGATCACTTGACATGTGCCGTTGTCGTACAGCTGTTGAATAAGGTTGATGAATATTTGGGGTACGCCGTAGTACTCGAGTAGTTTCCAAATTACTTCGCGATCGACGCTGTCGAAGGCCTTCTCAAAGTCTATAAAGTTGAGGTAGAGGTTTGATTGCCATTCCATGCTTTGTTCGATGATGATGCGTAGAGTTGCAATTTGGTCAGAACATGATTTGCCTTTCCTGAATCCAGCTTGTTCTGGTCGGAGTTCTGTATCCAGTGCGTCCTTTATTCTCTCCAGGATGATGCGACTCAGGATTTTACTTGGCGTCGACAGGAGCATGATTCCTCGCCAGTTCTTGCAGAGTCCTAGGTCGCCCTTCTTTGGTAGTTTCACCAGGTAACCTTTCCTCCAGTCAGTAGGCACCTTTCCTTCCTTCCAGACCTTCTGCAATAATGGAGTCAGCATATCAGCTGACATCTCTGGGTCCGCTTTCAATGCTTCCGGGGGTATTCCATCTGGTCCTGCTGCTTTTCCAGCTTTCAGAAGCTTGATTGCATTCAAGACTTCAGCTTTCGTTGGAGGATTGGTGTCAACTTGCAGTTGTGTACGTGCTGTTGTTGGTATTTCTGGACGGGTTGTAGGTGGTGGTCGGTTCAAGAGTCCTTTGAAGTGGTCCGCCCATTGTTTAGTCTGTCTTTCTTCCTTGGTAATTGGGTTCCCTTGACTGTCTTTTATAGGTTTCACTTGTGTTGATCTCTTCCCGGATAGAGACTTGGTTATCTGATATAGTGTCCTCAGGTCCCTTTTGCCTGCTGCCTTCTCAGCTTCAGTGGCCAGGTTGTCGTAGAATTGCCTTTTGTCCTTCCTGGCACTCTTCTTCACTTCTTTGTTCAGTGCTGTATAGGTTGAGCTCAGCGTCTCTTTCTCTTGTCCATCTTTGCATTGAATCATTTTCTCTTTCACCATTCTCCTCTCCTCTATTAGCTTCCAAGTGTCCGTTGGGAGCCATTCCTTGTCTTGTCTCTTCTTTCTTCCTAAATCCGTTGAACAAGTTTCGTTGAAAATCACCTTCAGAGAGTTCCAATGGTCTTCCACGGATGATTCCTCAGTGATGCCACGTAGTGTTTCTTGCTTTGCTCTGACAGTTGCAGTGAAAATGTCCTTTGTGATTGTGTCCTTCAGTTTTTGCGTGTTGAACTTGCATTGTGGCCTATCCCCAGGTATCCTCGAGGCTTTCACCTTTACCTTGAAAGTCCCTTGTACTAGATAGTGGTCTGAACCCACATCTGCTCCTCTCCTCGATCTTGTGTCCAGTAGGCTCCGTCTCCACTTCCTTGAGATTGAAATGAAGTCTATCTGGTTTTTGGTGTGTCCATCTGGTGAAATCCATGTCGCCTTGTGTATATCCCTGTGTTTGAACACACTGCCACCAATCACCAAATCATTGAAGGCGCAGAAGTCTGAGAAGAGTTCACCATTTTCGTTCATTTCACCGAGGGCCTCGCGACCCATGGTGAGTTCTCTTCCTGTATTGTCTCCTCCCAGCTTCGCATTCACATCACCCATCAGGATTTTGATATCGCCATTTGGGACGTTGTCCATTACTGCTTGTAGTTGTCTGTAGAAGGCCTTCTTCATCTCTTTTTCTGAGACGTTTGTAGGCGCTTATCATTGAATGATCGTAACCTTCCTTCCTTTTGAGTTGAACCTGGCTGTCATTATCCTGAAGGAGATTGGTTCCCACTGCATGAAAGCTTTAGCTGCTGTTGGTGACATCATGATGGCTACTCCCTCGGTATGCTCGTGATCGTCCTCTGGGTGACCGGAGTAGATTATTGTCTCTCCAGTTGGTAGTTGGCTCCTTCCACATCCGTTCCATCTGCTCTCGCAGATTCCCAACACTTCTATTTTATATCTCCTCATTTCTGCGGCTACCTGAGCAGCCTTTCCAGCTTCGTACATTGTACGAATATTCCACGTCCCCATCCTTATTTTTGCTTTCATCGAAAGAAGGCACATCGGCTGACTGGCTTCCCGAAGGCTTTTACCAGCCTGCGTCATTTCACTTCCCCGATTCTAGCGAAAAATAAGGTTATTATTTGTACTTTTAGAATTTTTATTATATTTGTGCGTTGAAGTTTTTGTAGCAGTTTGGTTAAGTTTTGGGGGTGGAGTTGCTAGCACCACGCCCCAACCCTCCCTCTTTATCCGGGCTTGGAACCGGCTAGAAAACTAGTGACCTAGTAATCTAGGCGAGGTTAACGTATGAAACTGCGTAGGCGCATATCAGATTAAGTTATCGCATAGCACATAATTAAGAACGGACTAAACAAGACAGAAATAAGTGAGAAAACCTGTGAAAATGTTAATTAAATCTGCTATAAATTCAACACACACTTACGGTCGAAGTACTCGAAAACGTTTTCGCCAATAACGTAAGTAGTTCTACGAGAGAGGTGAAGTGTATTGTCACTGGGATTCAATAAAAGTCTCCAGGATGCCCCTCTGCGATCACACGACTGAAGAAATGTATCATGGTGCATTTAATGATCGCTTCATATACGAAAATCTGGAAGTCGCGTCATCATCAAGAGGAATCTTAATGGTAAGCTTCAATAGGTCTGTCTCTCCAAGTGCTTTAAATAAACTCTCGTAAACTCTCAGCTATTTAAGATTTCCTATATTCTCAATGAATAATTTGTCATAATCTCGATTTCCACTTTTAGATTTCGCGCTGACACAAGCATAACATTGAATGACGAGTGTCCCGATTATAATAACAATATGTTTTGGACATCCAGAAAATCACAGAACAGACTATATAGAAGCGTGTACACTCCGAAGAACAGATCCAATCTTGTTCCAATCACCCAAGCTTCACTCGGATCACATAGAATAATAAAGGTGAGACAGTTTTTCATGTAAGGATGTAAAATTTAGGCAAATTGGAAGGGCATAATTTCATTATGGATAAAACTTTATTTTGACAAAGTCACACAGTGTCATACACTAATATTTACAGATGATGTTTCAAGCACAATTCATTGCTCATGATCACGTCGAGGTACTCCCATAACTCACAAAATACCTTGCAATGACCATGAGCTAGATCAACTACATAGGTCAAACTAGTAGATCAGGAGTAGTCAGAATATCAAAACATAAGAATTTAGCCACGGTTAGAACGACTGTTCCCACACAGATAAGTATTTGAGAAGAAAACACAGCAATCGCACTGCATGCATTAACACACAACCACAAAATAGGGTGTGTGGGATACAGTCAAAATTCTAAAAAGTGATATAGGTATGTAGGTAGGTAGGTAGGCATGTGGAGACAGAGATTGATTACCGAATCCTCGTACATCGAGTCTACACCCAACACATGCAATAGAATTGACTCAACGCAAGTACCGGAGATATGGAAGATATTACTACCAGTCAAACCAGAGGAGGATAATAGATAATATTAAAATGCATTCAATTTACATTATAACATTCTAGCAAGTTACTTATTTTTACTGGAAAAAACATCTTATTTCCCATCTTACTGATTTACAACAGTCGTCATATTTCTCATCCTATTGTATTTTATTGACAACACCAATATTATTTCCGAATGTACTTTATCTTCCTTTCCGTTTCACTCAAGTCTTTTATTGGTTTTCTTCAAATGTTTCATTAACTCTTACTCATGTATGTGAAGGAAGCAAGAACGTTATGTGAGTACCTTGATGTGATCATGAGCAATAAATCGTGCTCGAAACGTCATCAGTAAATATTAGTGTATGACACTGTGTGACTTTGTGGAAGAAAGTTTTATCCCTAATGGAAGGTGAGAGTGCATTTATAAATCAGTTTTCATCACTTCAACTTCCTCGAAGATGACTAATGAGTCTAGGCACTGAACACTATCAATTTCGATATACTGTCATCATCATGATTTGTTTAAGGTAATGGAATAGAGCATAGATATGGAGTAATTGTGTTGTCTTTTGTTTAATTTAGATCTGAGGTAGAAAAAATGTGGTAGTGGAAGCTAACTGTTCATATTTCCCCACATCAATATGCACATCTCTCCTATCGGTTTGACTTAGGTTATTTTGTGTCGAATAGCTGGTTTCCAATCAGCCTTCAGTCCAAACACCTTGAACGAGGTGTGACTGGTTGGATTGATTGTTTGACTTGAAACCGGTATGTCTCAGCTTAACAACACCACTCCGTCTAAATTGTTCCCAACAAACGGAAGATATCAAAACTCACCGATAATTCAGTGTGGTATTTGATGGCTTAGGGTGTTACATTTTATGTCCTCCATTTATTTCCTATTTTGTTGTTGTTAATGTTGTTGTTCATAGTATTAGCGGTAGTAGCAGTGGCAGTAGTAGTACGACCCTCAAAGATATAAGTCTCGAAGCAAGCAGAACTTCAAATACTGGTAGCCTGATTCATGCAGTGCAGTGTTGAACCGATAATATAATGCAGTATTTGAAAGGGAGAAGTGTAATATGAGACATCAGAAACACGTAACTTTTCATTGAATGATACTCCGTCAGAATTTACCGTTCAAAACCATATCATCACTGTTAAAAGCGAAACCCCGAAATGAGACGTTGATCCTTCATGTGCTTACTTCACATTTGTCGTGAGAGTAGCAGAATTTTCCAGATGATCCCTAAACGTTTGGAATCATCATTTTAGTACATATTCAGAGCTGAATCGGGGAAAAACCTCACTTATTAATCTCTGCCTTCACTCAGATAATGAGATTTTAAGGCTGTCAATGTTTCCGTAAAACTGACCGCGTGTACGGCTGTAGTTGACCATTTTTCTGAATTTCTCATGTTTTAATGAACACTTATATTCTAGTGAACCAGTAATCTATTCCACTCTGGTTTACTTCTCTGGCGTATGCATTTACATTTTTCATCGATGAATAAAACTCTTTTTTAGCATGCACAAGATGATGTGAATGTGGACTTGACAAGGAGATTTGGAACTGTGAAAGTGCGTGACGTGCCTGTGGAACCTATCAGTCGAATGAGCCTATTAAAGAAGACGAATAGAAGTGTTCAGATGTCAGTGAGCGGTGATAATACCAGATGCTCCGAGGTAAGTCCACGCATTGATTGATGTTCATCTCTTCGCTTGCACAAATTCGGATATTACTGGCTAGAAGTGGTAATTACGTGGCTTCTCCAGGAAATGTGCTTGACTAATTACTCAGACAAGTAGGTATTTCGAATCAGTAGTGGGCAGTTAGGAGTGGACATTGTCTCTCCGACCTACGGTATCTTTCAAAATAGGTGGCTTACTACAAATCTACTAATGTTTCTCAGTGGAGATAAGTCGGACAAACATGTGCTACAATCTGAGTGAATGCTCGTAAAATGTGTCTCCGGCTTCGATTCACTTCTGCATATATGAAATGTCATGTTTTCTCCTGTCGTAGGTAGTATATTCGTTACCCATCCGAAATGTCGCAATATTTGTTTTCATTTGTCTTTGTGAGTCTATACCTCTGGAGTTAACTGACTCTAGAAAATTACTGCAGCTCTCGTCCTGTTAGTCCTGATGCAACAGAATGTTGGGAGGTTAAATAATTGTATTACTGTTTGTTACGATCTCTGCTCGATGCAGTCGCTGACCAGTTTCGCTGAACAATTAGGATCATCGATGAAAATTCCTAGTAAGTATTGTCAAACCTCAAAAAAGTCTGCATATCCGTTTACGTAATGAAATATTTCCGACCTAATTGGCTAACGCCAATTTGATATGTGACCATATCCATTAATATATATTCTCTATAGTTTGGTTTGTAAGGATTAGTTATGTTTTACGAGTTGATCACGGAATGATATCAGTTAGAGAACCATTGAAAACCAGGGAGTACTGGACAGCTGCTGGTTCATCCTAGTTTAGGAATCATCGTCAGTACTTAGCCACTGGGATTCGAACCCAGGACCTTCCGGTTACAAGGCAAGCTCGTATACCATTCAGCCACTGGGACCCGATTCAATGGCTCATGAATTTTAACTTCTACCAATTCGTGATTTAGTGCTACTCCAACCATTGTCGTTGGTGGGACATGCATCCACACACGTGACATCTAACTGGACCTCACTGGTCACGACTTCTCACTAGAACTCCAGGAAGCTCAATCCTGTAGCAAGTCACTAGCGAGCATCAGATTAATTTTCTACAGTTTGGTTTGTAAGGATTAGTTATGTGATTACAGTTTACTCACAGCGAAAGAATTCCATCCATCTGTGACAAAAATACACACTAATGACCTCGGTGATATCGTACGTCTCCCCTGTATGCCTCATTTTTTGTATTCTGTGCAATCGGCAGTGTTGGTGTATCGTGTGATCACTGAATGAAATGAACCGTCACTAGTAAAGAGCAGCTGTTGTTCAGTGCTTTCGACTGATAACAACCAAAGCCGACTATGAAACTCAGTCTTATGGAATGTTCTTCATTGGTTCATCGGTGCGTCAGTTGTTCAGTCAGTAAGTGAGATAGTCAGCTACTTTTCGGTGATTATGATTTGGTGATGTGATTGAGACTTGATGGGGTGGCTAAGTAGGCTCGCAGACGGACTATGAAATAATGTCACATTGATGAAGATATTTATATATATGGATATGCATACGTGGTGTCGAAATACTGCATAGAAGTAGTTGGATTAGACGACAAGATGCTGTTGCACGCCACCCAAATGGTGTTGCTGACATAGTCACGTGCGACCACATCTCCTTACCATTCGTCTCTGCATATCTCATGCAATTATAATGAAATATTGTCTACAATAATAAGACACTCTTGTTGTTTCTTCCATAGACATCAAAGTACGCCATTGATGATTCATGTGAGAAGTCATCAGAATCATCGTCGGCCTATGGTTCAGAAGTGGAAACATCCCCAGATTCACCAAACTCAACTGAAGGTTCACAAGCAACTGAAAACACACGGACGAATAATGCTGACAGTTTTGACAAAGAACGACAGATTGAAACTCCCCTAAGTCCAATATTCAGATGTAGGAACTATGACAGTGAAGATATTTATAAGGTGCCGCAAACAACACCAAATTCACCTGCTGCATCTCGACGCCATCCTCCACCTCCACCTCCACCTCCACCTCCTCCCCCACCATTACCACAGCCTTTTATACCACCACCACCACCACCTTTTCTTTCACCACGAACAACAACAACATTTCTACCGCATTTATTGACTCATTCCAACGATTCAGCCACACCAGTGCCTGGTGAGTCAACATTTTACCTCATTTGTCAATGTACTTCACTTTGCTGTAGTACTAAATTGGTGAACACGTGTTCTTCATCTTCATATTATCATATGTTGTGTTTTACTCATAACATTCACACATTTCAGCTAAATGCAAGCGTGAGGACGGCAAACATCCATCAGCAGTGATCTGAAATGGAAAGAGTCACACATATGCACCAACTGACCAGGGAGTACTGGACAGCTGTCTCGTCCTTGTTCCAGACTCTTCAGCAGTATGTGCCCATGGCCCAACCACGGGTCGGACCAAAGACCTTTGGATTACAAGATGAACTGGTATACCATGGAAACACTAGGGTGTCACCCGACCTAGCAGACACAATTTACTGTGGACTTCTATCAATCAACTGACTGAAGCAGAAAGCAGGCGTATAAACGAATTTCGTTGTTAAGCACAGAGCCAATGATAGTGATAAAGAGTGGCACATTCACTAGGTTTGTGACCACCAGGGACTGCATACTCCTCAGCCTTGCATTAAGCATTTCATTGTATAGTGAATACGTAAGTTCAACCATTATAACGCGTTAAATAGAAAAAACCATGTGGTGAAGCTTGTAGAGTATTTCACCTACCGATTATGCACAGACAACTCCTATCTGGCTGAGTATGTTTACGCCACCACTGGTTTCGTGACGCCAACTACAAATCGAAAACTGATTTCTCTCAAAGTCAATTACCAACTAATCTTTGGTCACTTCCATAATATACACTTCGCTATATTAATTCTCTTACCTCGCTACCACCTTTTCTTCTGTTTGAATAGAGTCGCCGATGCCATACAACATGAAACCAAAGAAGACATTCTCGGCTGCATTCAGATTGAAGAAAGCTTGCGTATCTCCGGTAAGTGTTCAGTGACATGTGTAAATGTCAGTGATTTTAATAATAATAATAATTGTTGTTGTTGTTATTATTATTATCATAATCATTATTATTGTTGTTATTATTATTATTATTTTTATTGATATTATAGAAAGACAAACCTCCACCGATAGATGCTCCGGACAAAATGTCACAGACTGAGATACTCTCCGGATGCCCAGACGGAAGCAGGTGGTTGTTTTTGCGGCAACCCCTGGGTCTTTCACTTGAAGTCTTATCCAGAAAGTAGTGGGCCAGCGTCAGCAGCTGTGTTCCGATGGTTGCTGTTGACGTAAACGGTTTCACAAGGCATTCGGTCCTTTCGGACTATCGAGCCTATGTACATGATAAGTATTTTATCGGGTTTTAGCAACCCACGTAAGCGGACTAGCTAATATTTCTATCAGGCCGTTTGTTAGCTCGACTGTAGGAAACACTCGCGACTGATCATGTCAGTAAACAGAAGAAGCTATGAACTGGCTGCCACATGACAGCATTTCCAGAGGTCACCGGAGTCTACCCTTCTTCGGCCATACCACTCAGCTTTTGAGGGTGTTAGGCCCATTCACACTCGAAGAATTATAGTGAGCTCAGTTCTACGGGACCATCTGAATTGACGTGACTCACTGTGCAATGTACATTCATAGAAAGACTTGATCGTTCTTGGTGTATCTTGTTTCTTTTTGAAATCCTTCATGCATGTAAAAGTGATGGAATGAGTATCATGACTTATGTGTAAGCTGAGTTCAATAGACAAGAACAAATATTTGTAATTTATGAAATCATTTGGTGAATATACTTCAGAGTACAACACTAATGTGTTGATGGTACTCTGACACAGCAACAATCACTTTCACACATATCTCACAAGACACTCTACGATCTCAACATTCGTAGATAATTCTCGAAAATAATGTGAAGTTGGATATGCTATGCTCTGTTGAAAACCTTTGTTTCATGTGAGGAATCGCCTACACTGCGCCACACTGAAGCAAGGCTGAAATAAGATTCTGCACTACTTTTTTTATTCCTTCACGTTCCCAGTGGAACATAGGGCTTCAAGCTAATGACTTGAAGTTTCTGTAGCAGTGGTGTTTTGATTTTACCGGATGGGGTTGCTAGCCTCATGTCCAACCTTCCCTCTTTACCAGCCTTATTACTGGCTTAGCGAGGTAAAGGAGTGCGTCAGCCGGGGATTGAACCCCGGACCACGTGAGTAGTTGGCGAGCATTCCACCGCTGTGCCACCGACGCACCTAGCCACTATTTGTCCTAAACAATTTCGTCACTATTCGACTAGTAACTATTTCACTTATTCGCAAGATGCAACTTCGTCTGATATATCTTCATGGGTATGTGTAATTATATAGAACATCCATGCTTTTAAGCACCTTGTAAGCTGCTCACCAGAAGTGGTGGACACAAGTAAGAGCAAAAAGTGCTTGGCATGACACAGTAAAAAATGAAATAAGGATTTATTCATAGGTGTATATATATATATATCAACAAAATGATCACGTTGTACAAAGACTTCCAAAGCTGTTATGTTTCGTTTTCGCTACAGAACTTATTGTAAGACACTTTGATTACTTTGTTGAACTGGTACCTTCAAAATACAAATAGTGGGAGGATGAAGAAGACAGTAACATGTGGCTTAGAAATACAGCTGCAGAAGTTTGGGTATGTTTTTCGTACAAATTACTTCGAAATGAATATAATAAAAAAAACATGGTAGTAATGTAGTAATACTGCATCCATAATTTCACTTCGTCCTGACATCTTAACCATTACTAGTAAACTCAGATGATCGCAATTTTCTTATTAAGTATGAATATATTAGTGTGAACACAGTGTAATTTTACTTTCTTTTCTCTGAATTTATAATTTAACAATTACAAAATTGTTGACAAACAGGTGAAAAAATCTCGCCTGAAGGAGAATTCTGTATGGGTACGAATTGATGAAAGTGGTTTATTGAGTGAAGATTTTGTGAATCGGTTGCATAGAAGATTTCGCATCAAAAGGAATGAAAATATGGTTAGTTCATTTAATTATACTCTATTATGTCTCTCAATCTCAATGGAATGTGTCGATACTGATGTTGCAGCGTAGATAATCAGTTGTTTCTAGGAGAAATGAAACACAAATATGCTCAAGTGCAAGTGACATAGGATGATGATTGAAATAAATCACCAAGATGAGATATATAGTAAACTGCATTCTGAAAAGATAAGCAGTCAACAGAGAAACAACTACTGGAACCATTCCGTAAGGCTAGAAAATCCTAAGAGATATCAGAATCGAAGACAAATAATAAAGAAGTTATATAGTATAGATCAGTCCCACAATTCATTCCAAGAGATTTAATGAATCCCCAAAATTAGATGGTTGGAGGCAATCGACTGACAGAATTCAGTCTGCACTAAATAAAGGACTTGGCACATCTAATTACTAGTGTCCAACCAAAGAATTCTAGACACGCTGACAACATTATCGACAAAAGATTTAAGAATACTGGTCATCTGGTATTTTCATCATGAATTTGCCTCACCTACTATATACTACTGTATAAACAGTTGAGTAGCATTTTCAAAACTGAGTCCAAATACTCCACCGCACGTTTCAGTAGACCGACACATTCCATGACCAGTCTGTTCATCAACGAATATATTTGTGAATATTGAACCACACAAAGCCTCTTACACAGACTACCGTGATTCATTGTGCAGTGTATTCGGGTCTATTTCTACAAATAACTTTCTACTCATTGAATTATGGAAACAATGTCTTCTCCAGATGACAGGACGAAATGTAACTACGATTTCACACGACAGTGGCGTGTGTGATTGCTCGTGATTGCACCTTCATACACTTTAACTGGCCACTGCTTCACTATTGTATATCATATATACACAGACTCCAAGTACCAGTTGACTAGATGTAGCATTGAGTTCACATGGTCTTGAATTCAGTGTAAAACAGTGTCACCTAGCTGGATGGATGGACTTGGGTGTGTGGATTTTAAGGATGAACCTCTTTTTACCATTATCAACATCCTGTCTGTTAGCCAACAGAAATGTCAGAATTTCGGCTACACCCAATGGATGATTTCATTCTGATTCACAATGGTCAGCAGTTTGACATCGTATTACGCACGTTGTCTGTTGTATTGTGATTTGTCATTCGGATATAGCAACTTTCACTCAGCTACAGTGTCTTCAAACTGATTATATTCTGTGAGACAACAAGTCAACTTTCTGAGATTTGAGTACATGCGTGCATGGAAACACACACAAGTGGTCTTCACTGTCTAGTGTTCATGCGATGATTTGCGTAGAGTGAACAGGCCTCAGGTGGGATAGCAGCTGTATAACTTTTATGCCCAAAGCTTCTTTATCCTACATGTCATAACAAACATAATGTTTTCCCTTTACTTTGGTTAACCACTTTCCAGGTTACAGATAAATCAGAAGCTGAATGTGGGAGTAATTCGTCCTCTCTATTCAGCACACCGAGCTCAAAGTCCAATCCAAACCTACGATTATCAGACGGGTTATCACCAAATTCACCGATAGGGAAATCAATGCGTTCTGCGTCTCTGCGATTTGCCGCCCGAAAACAGACGTTAAACCTACTACCAGCTAAAGCAGCTCAGTCAGTTGCGATATGCATGGCATCAGCACATTTAGATCCCGAAAGCGTGGCTCAGGCAATTATAGAATTGAAAACCACTGTCTCACTCAGTCGCAATAAACCACACTCAGAAGGCTCGAACAAAGGAATCGTTCAGCATAGGACGCAAATTTCGACAAGTTCAAGTTCACGTCAACTGTTTCCCGAACACTTATTAGACACACTTATCAACAGTATGCCTCAAATGGACGTCATACTGAATTTATCAGACTGTCCAGTCGATGTTTCGGTAAGAGTTGAATATGTTTATGAATTAAAAGTCAATCTGAACGAAGAATATTCTTTTCAATAATTTCTCTTCAGGTTCTTACAATTATAAAATATAATATTATATTTTATAATTGTAAGAACCTGAAGAGAAATTATTGAAAAGAATATTCTTCGTTCAGATTGACTTTTAATTCATAATATGGGAATTTTCCACACTATCAAATCGAATATGTTTATGAAGAGAGATGTCTTTCGGGGATCTCATAGACAGGCGCATTCTGACTAACTGAAGTTACAGTCATGTCATAAGGAGTGAAGTTGAAGAGAAAGCTTCGGTCACTACGGATTTACTTGGTTTAGAAGACGTCCATGATAACCACACTGATGAAAAGAGTGCACTGAATTGTAAACCATCATCAGTATTCCGTTATACTAGAGCGACGCGAAGGTCACCAAGTCTGTTACTTGCACACTGCATTTTCAAACTTCATTTTAATTACCTGTTAGGTGATTCAACCTACTCGTCCCAGATTTAGAAGCCACTTCACCTGCTTTGAATTGGATAGGTGGGTGCCGTGATAAGCACTCACACATAAGGTGTGGCTAGTAGCCCGATGAGTGAGGACGTGACGAGCACCTGTGTCGTCGTATTCGAATTCATATTGAAGTCTTGGAGATCCAGTCAACTTAGATTTCGCGTCTTTTACTGCTCATCAACAATCTGCTGATTTAAGGAAATGACCTGAAACTTGGCCTACAAAATTTAATAGGCTTTTGTAGGTTTGCGTCCATGAATACTCCATCAGTGGCGGAAATTTTAGCAACGCTGACATGAACAGTGATAGTGTTATTCAATCGCTCTTAATGAAATATTCATATTCACACCTAGTTCACATGTCTTTCTACTGACTGATAGACAAGAGTATTCACAATTCATACTTGTGCACCCGTCACACACTCGAAGAATTTACATTTGTAATTTCCTGTATTCCAGAATCTCGTCGAGTCAGATAAACTGTGCTGCCTCATCTCCCAACTTCGTCATAGACTGCCTGCACATCTACACGCTTTACGTATGCTTCTTCATTACGATAAACAAGCTGACCAAGTCAAACAGGCACTTCATGCTGGATGTTTGTGTCTTTCTGAGATTCGACATTCGAACTCGCTTTGTCAACTTCTGTCCTGTGCGTTGGCCTTGATCAATGCCCTAAATGCTGCTGGACAGTGTTCGACTGCAGACTACAGTCAATTACGACATTCGAATCCCTCGGATATCCATACATGCCAAGCATCGATGAGACGGAAACCGCTCCTTGGCTTTGAAGTAAGAAATCTAGTCCGACTGGCTGATACTCGTGACGTGACTAATCGGAGGAATTTAATCCACTATTTAGCAGAATTAATGGAACTCAAGTAAGCAATTCAATGTGACTTCACTTTTGACAAACCGATGTATTTGATTATTTAGTAGTTACAGTTGCTATCTGAAACCAAATTGTGTCCAACTACATTTGATCTTTGCTTCATTTGAAGACATGTTTTCTACTCAAGCGATTATTTCGAACATATCAATTTATTTTGGTGCATCGTTCGTTCTCATCATTAAAGCAATTAGTGCTTTTTCTATGTTTGTAGACTGACTGTCATCTGCAAAACGACTGCTGAGTGTAAACTGCTCACAGGAACAGTAGGAGATGCACTTTCATGAAGCTGTTTTCATGATGATTACCTGGTATTCGGAAATCACATTTCTGTAGATCAGTATCAGTGAGTGTCCACTAGAAATCAGGTACTCAGTAATCCACACTTAGCAAAGAGATGAACAATTTGCTCTACCTTACACTCACTGAATCACTACTTAGCCTGTTAATGTTGACTAATGAATATATTGGTTACCATCAGACTATAATCTTGAGTTCAGTCTTCCATGTTGCTAAGTAGAAAGCGTTTGCATCGCAACGTCACCACCTGGTTCGGTGACTTGATAGATATTTTGAGAAGACGCCTTCCTGACAGAACTATTGGGAGGCCGCTTGAATATTTCGCTGGAATGTTGCTTGTGAATTTATGATGGAACAACAGAGCTCCGCTGCCTTCAAATTCCTCACAGGGATATAAGGAACCTTCACGGGTCTCATGGAGAATTACAATGAATATATCTGTGTTTACTTGGACTTACGTGCTGAGCTGGTTTTGCTGACGGCAAACAACATTTCATCTGGAAATTTTGTCAGACACATTTGTCCAGAGTTATTTTGTGTGAATTGTTAGGCTTCATCTGATCTTGAAAAACTGTGAAGATCACGTTATCGAGATATTTGTCGTCCTTGCATGTTTCTGACCACTTTTCGAATGCATTATCGTTATTTGGGTAGAAAATCTATGTAATCCACTCCGTCTCTCTTTATTCAGGCTCCACCCGATCGGCCAGCATGTCAGATCATTTGTATATCTCTTTGGTGTATGTCATATTCATTTCCCCTTTCTTCCGAATATTCGTTAGACCAAAGTTGTTGTCTGGTTCACTACTCGACAAGACTCCTTGTTTCTTATCGTTACTGGTTGGCCACCTGATCTTCAGTATAAATCGGATTGTACTTTTTCAGTGGCCTGTTCGAAGTGTTTCGGTGATGCGCCAAGCCCATGCATCATATAGGTGGATTGTCTTGACCCTTGTGTAACACAGTCTATGTGGAGCTTCTGAACTTCATCTTTAAGCTTCCTTGCACCAGACTGCGGCTTGAAACTACATCTTTTCCACTTCTTCATTCTGTGTCCGGTAGGATGCATTTTCACCTTTTTGAGATTAAGAGGACTTCCATCCAAGTATTGGTGTGTCCATCTGGTGATACGCACGTTACCCTGTAGATTCCAGGTGCTTTTATATGCTGCGTAATTTGGTTTCTTACGATTTGTCGAAATCACTCGATCTTTCTTTGAGTTGATAAATAATGAATGCTGAGTTAACATGTCATTCTGCGTTTATAATTTTCATATGTTTCTGACGCCTTATCATATTTTACAGCTTCACGAAGGAAGCTCACTTATGGGCGAATGAAATACCTACATTAGACTCTGCGCAAAGCTTATACTGTGCCAAAACAATTGAGGAGACTTTGGTTGAAATGAAGCGTGACGTTGCTCGCCTCGAAATAGATTTACGTGGTATTGGTGCAGTTCCACATTGTGTGCAAAAGTCACGTTCAGATTCTACATGTGAAGCATTCAAGGCTAATACATGTTTCGGTATAGTAATGGGAAAGTTTCTACCTCATGCACAAGAAGAGCTCAGAATACTGGGTGAATTACACAGGTCCTTCACCGAAAGATATAGTGAGGTAAGCGTTTTTGGTCACTCTTCTACTTTACATGGAAACTGTCGATAGAAATTTTAATCAGACAGACCACTTTTCAAATACTCCACAACTCACTCATCATTATTGGACAGACAAACTTTTTTTGAATTCACATGTCTGTACTTTAATTTTTATGATGGTAGGAGAGAATATCCTCACGTTATTTGCTTCTGTTTACTCGTTAGTGGATACGTTTTCTCTGACATTGTAAAACAGCGGCGACCAACTCAAGTCACCAAAGCATTTCATCTAGTACAAACTACAAGTAGAAATTAAAATGTAATCAAATGCCTTCAGTGTCAATCACAATATTCTTTGTTGATCACTTCCTATCGTATCGAATCTTGGGCAAATTAATCGTAGGTATAGTGAATAAGCTAGTAGGTGTGTAGTATTCTCCGGTCAAAACAACCGACATTCACAGACTAGGCTGCCTACACTTACAATGAATTATTCCCTTGGCTAATGAGTGTTTGACTGTGAAGTTTGTTTTGTCAAGCCATGCCAACCGAATAGCGATTTCCTCATGGGAAGGAATCATAAGTGGATTTCCAAGTGACTTGGATGCTTACTAGTATCAATGCAGTGTAAAGTGTAGACAGACTATGTAGTCTGAAATCACTATCATCCAACATAATCGATGTATACATGCACACACACATCCACGGAGCGAAGATTTATGTCTTCTTCGAGCAAACCTCTCTGTATGTCAACATCCTTTTTCATTTATCTCTTTTCTTGTTCATAATAGGTTGTCGATTACCTCGTGTTGGACCATTCAAAATATACGGCTACAGAACTATTTAATGACTTAAAGACATTCAGAGAACAATATCAGAAAGCCTGTACACTGAAAGATAACCGTGTTTGATGATTTGGTGAAATAAATAGTTATTTACTCATATTGTTTCCTGCAGCAACAAAAGACTCTGTAGTTTGGGCATATTCTGCGAATGAATGATGCGCGCCAGAGGCCTGCATATTCAGCTGTCAGTGAAGAGGTTCAAATAACAGGTTTATCTTTCAACTGGATGAACACCATCCACGACTGTCTACTCTAAAGATTAATGAAGGTGAAGTTCTTAGGCTTCCTAAGTGATATGCAGACAACACAGCGGTCATCGTTGACGAGAAGCCACAGACGCCTTTCCCAATCAGCACCTGCCAGCCAAACAGTCATCAGTGTTCGGACTCTACGTCCCCAGGTGGCGCTACACTCGTCTTCCGACAAAAGAGACCTGATTCAGGTGCTTCATCACCACAAGTCGACTCCAAACTTTGACGTCTCGAACACCAAGTTGTTATCAAGCCTGACACAGCTTCTCACGCCCTGATGGGGAGGAGGCCATAAATGCATCAGACCTTCAAGTAAACAACAGACCACTCTCTCAAAGTCGGTCACACAGTACAGAAAATAAACGATGCTGTTCCATTTCGACCTCAATCAACACGTCTTTTCTAAAGGGGTGATATGTAGATAGATAAGCGATGCATTATCCCTTATTGGTGATGTGGTGTTCGAGGTGAGTTTGGAAATCAACCGATCAGGACTGGCCTTCGTAAAATTGCGCCCACTACTTTATTGGTCATGAATATAGAGTAATCGGTATAACCTTCATGATTTATTGAATCATACACTATTTCGCAAAGATGTGCTTTAGTGGACACTGAAATATGTCTTTTGGCTCACGTAGTTGTGTGTTCAGACCTGAGTAGAGCGTGATAAGCAATAGGTAGCTGTGGTGTAAGGTTGTTGTTGTAGTTAGGCGGTATTAATGAACAGCGCGCATGTGTTCAACTCGAAATCCCTGTGTGAATCTCAGTCTACCTGTGAAATATAAAAGTGGTGGCTTCAAGACAGCAAGGTATCTCGTCGAGAACTTTTTATGAGAATTTTTCTCTTGGGGATGGAAAGTAGACTGTTGCTGGAGATATATATATATATAAAGAGAAAGAGAGAAGGAGAACTTGTATGGCATTCACTTCTCTAGTGAAATGATAGTGTTGGGATTGTTTTTTGACTGTTAGTCTCAGGGTTAATGCTGTGCAGCCAATCGCGTCTGCAATAATGTATGTTGTAATGCATTTCGGTCAACGACTAGGCATCATGGAGATGAGCGGCAATGCAAATGCTGCCTCAAATTTCTACACGTTTTGCACAAGATGAATAATTGGGAAAACATACACCTTTTACTTAATTCGAATTAAAAACAGTAGTCTATTGGGCTGAGCTTAGATTTCTCCACTCATTCAACAACTTGGCCATGTGTTTCACAGCGTTATCTATTTCCATCTATATTAAAAACACTGCAGTACATGCAATCACACATGAAGTGCACAAACGGGATCTCATTATTCTCCTCATTGTGCTCGCATTCAAATTTCTCGCGAATGAAGGGTTTTCTGAAGGAAAGATAGAATTGTTTAATATTTGACCGGCTTGGTCTCATAAGATAGTCGTAATGTAAACAGTGAGGTAGGAAATGGTGCATTCTGCTAATGTCAGTTGTGATGTATGCATATTCACGTGGTTGCTAAGAAGCATTACACCTTACAGGCTTTTAAGTGTGCGTTTCATACGGAAAGTTCAATGTCAGTTATTTCATTACATAAAGTAGGTTAGTAACGCAGTAATACTCGCTGAACGACAACTCAGGCACAATTCATTTCTCAAATGAGTATGACTGAAACAAAAATTGGAGGAAACATCTTTGACTGAGTTCTGTGTTCATGTTACACGCTGCATGCACCTCCTCATTTAATGTTGTATCTGAGTTTCAGGATCCTCTATGAGCTGTTGTTGTCTATGTTGTAGGAATCCCGTTCACTGTGACAGATCAAGTGAGCGAAGATTCAACGTATGACACTGCGTAGGCACACATCAGATCACGTTACCGTTGAGCACACAAATAAGAGGAATTCTCCGACACTCCAAAATTAAGGACTTATTGTAGACGATAAATTAAGACGATGAATACTGAAGAAGTTAAAAACAGACAATGTCAAAAGCATGTCAGATACACAGGCGAAATCATTGCTCGATAAGCTAATAGCATTATATACGATGTTCGTCCATGCATATACATACCAGAGGGAGACAACGGAATTTAAAAGCTTTCTACCCAAATAACGATAATGCATTCGAAAAGTGGTCAGAAACATGCAAGGACGACAAATATCTCGATAACGTGATCTTCACAGTTTTTCAAGATCAGATGAAGCCTAACAATTCACACAAAATAACTCTGGACAAATGTGTCTGACAAAATTTCCAGATGAAATGTTGTTTGCCGTCAGCAAAACCAGCTCAGCACGTAAGTCCAAGTAAACACAGATATATTCATCGTAATTCTCCATGAGACCCGTGAAGGTTCCTTATATCCCTGTGAGGAATTTGAAGGCAGCGGAGCTCTGTTGTTCCATCATAAATTCACAAGCAACATTCCAGCGAAATATTCAAGCGGCCTCCCAATAGTTCTGTCAGGAAGGCGTCTTCTCAAAATAACTCTTAATTCATTCGTTATTGGTTTGTTTATTAGATGCTTCACACAGTGAAACAGTATTATTTACTGGATGACGATTCGGAGAAAATTCATTGTTCAGATTCATATCAGTTGTAATCACACGAGTTCACAACTTGAGTGCTGCAGTTTTCTTTGTTCTCTCCTATTTGTCGTAGGGGTAGTAGATCGTTCCAGATATCTGGGACGGGTGTTGAATCATTAGTATTACATGTATTTGCAGTTGATTCGATAAACAAAGCTACCTTTATCAATCTCTCCCTCCATCCTGTTACATTAGACTTTAAAACTGTCGTCTTTTCCCATCATTTTATATGGTTGTATGTTGTTGCATGTAGTGCTATAGCTGAACTATTCTCTAGACTTCTTATCTTATTCAGGTTAACTACTCTAGATTTTAGTAAATGAAATATCCCCATATTGAAATAAAAACAAGATTTTGAGCGAACAATTGTTTTCGATAACTTCTTCAGGCTCTACATTTATAAATCCATGAATAATAGAGTACATATAGCCAATAAAGGCAAATGAAAATAATATCAGAAACTGTATTGGGGTGCATGTGTAAGTTGAGATGATAGTCCATTAGTTAACATAACCAATCAAATGTGTATAGTATAGGGTGTATAGTCAGAAAAATGTGATGAAGTGTGAATGAACAATTGGGTGATATAGTGCTGTTTTATAGTCAACAGAATACAAGTGTCATTGGGGTGAGAGAAATGCGATAACCACAAAATACATACAAATACACATTAACAAAGGGGACACTGAATGTGAGGGCTGACCGATAATGTCTAATGATAAAATAAAGAGGCTAAATTGTAAATTGTAATAAGATGTTACAGAGTTGGTAGGCTTAGCGTAAGATTCAACTACTATGTGTAGGAATAATCAACACTCCTGTGTAATCAATGTGTTTCGAAGTGTGAATAGATTGATCAACCTCCGACGAATTGACATCCAACAAATGAGTAGATTTGAAATGACACAGACTCACAATCACAAATAATAATAATAATCATATTAACAACAAGAACAACAGTCACTTCTGAAGAGTTAATTTGTAGTTATTTAGCAGCACTTACCTGTTACGACTGAAACCGACTCATTGTGTTCCGAATGCATGAAAGCAATCTCCGCGTTCCACTGTGCACCTGAAAACACTCCCTTGATACATGCATAATCTGAAAGCGCTGCAAAGACTGTGAGAAGAAAATTGTTCTTTGCTGGAATCTGTGGCTCTCTTCATCAATAACATCAATAGGTGAAAATTACCTCAACAGAGCCGTCAGGCAGAGATAGAGTCCAGTTAATTTTCTGAATACAAAACAATTACTGCAGAATAAAATTAGTTCACGGAAATTCAGCCGTGAGAATTACCTTGGAATCACGTAGAATATTGCCAACAAGGTGGGATCAAAACTCTGTCCACCCTACTTAGTCCAAGCTCAGAGTGACCTCCATTCATTCAAACCAGATCACATCGTAAAAGAACACATTACCAGTGCACCGGGGAACTGCGAATAGAAGCAATCCAAATATAGATTGAAGAGGGGCAAGGACAAATAATAATAAGCATCAAGTCAACATATGATATGCAAATGTCAGAATCATGATGGACAGTCTAGGAGAAACACGGATAATAATTTCAGTGTTAGTTGAAACGTACAGATAAGTAAATATATTGTGATTAGATTGTCTATAAGGGTCTTTGCTAGGAATTTTTCCGTTACAGTAACCATTAATCCACAA